GGGAGTATTTTTATGTTTGTTGTTTTTTAGTCGGTTGTAACGATGACCTCAGTTGCCACACGAGCAGCGATGTTCATGACGTATCCAGCAACAACTAAAAACAAAAGCAGCCTCAGGTAAAGAGAAGAGTAGTAACAATAAGAGATTCGAGAGTAACAACAAACGGCACGTATGATAATTACCTAAATGTTTTTGCAAGTGCCGTAAAACCCTTATTGACGCTAAACGCTAAGTGACAACAAAAAAAGTAACCGCAACAACAACGACCGACGACGACGACGACGACCACGACGATAGCAACCACAATAACAATAGTAACAAAAACAACGACAACAGCAACAACAACAACAACAACAACAACAGTGGCAACGGCAACGACGACGACGATAGCAACAACAACAACAGCAACAGCAACAGCAACAATAATGATCATTACTAAAGACGAGAGAAGACCGTAATAAATGCTGCAACAGTAGCAGTAGAGACAGCAACAACAGAGCAACAACAGCTACGATACGAAGAAAACAGTTGAGGCAACATCAGCACCAGAATCATGCTGCCATCATAACAAGCAAAAAGCAACAGAAACGCACTGATAGCTTGTTCCTTTTCCTTTCAGGTCCTTTAAAATAGTGGCACCCCTCGCGAACCTGAGGTAACTATCCCGACAGTAGATAGCGCAATTCCCTAGTAGGTAACGGGTTAAGTAGCTTTTCCAGTAGAAACTTTAGTAAATTCTCCCTTAAGGGGGTGAGTAAATTTTCCTATTCAGCGTTGGGTAAACTCTCCTGTAAAGGGTTTACCGAGCAAATTTTCCGGTAGAGGGTTGGGTAGATTTTCCGATAGAGGGTTGAGTAAATTTTAATTCTCCTGTAAAGGGTTGGGCTAACTATACTATTCCAGGTTGGGAACATGTTTTCCTGTAGGCCTAAAGGTTTGGCTAAAATTATCCGCTTAGCCTTGGCTGACCTGGCTGGCTAAGAAAGATACATCGTCAAGGCAGAAAGACCGAGATACCCAGTACAAAAAAGTAATGTATCCCCAAATGGGAAATGTGCCCTCTTTAGTTGTTTGTTGCTAGGGGATTTTTTAATTAATGTTGTTGTTGTTGTTGTTGTTTTTTTGGGGGGGTGTTTTGTTTTGTTTTGTTTTATTCTCTTTTTTTATCTAACGATGACCCAAGTACTCCATTCCGCCGTCACCATCGTGTCCAGTAGAACGGCATCAAGCTTAACCAGCAAAAAAGTTTAGGAAGACCGTTTATTTGGGGGGGGGGT